TTCAGCTACGCTATTCACGTTGCTGAATTTGCGTATCTTAAACCGACTCCCCGCTGTAGTGTAGATGTACCCCTTTGTCTGAGTTATTGAAGTCCTCAAATACTGGTTTAAAGACGTCAAGGTGCACAGAATCCTCCAGATCTCCCCAAAGACAATGCTGAAGTCAATTCCTTTAATAAACTAAACTAAAGATTTATTAGTTAAGAAAAAGAAATGAGTTATTGAAAGTTTAAAGCAGCTAAAATACATTACAGGTGAATCAAACTTTGTAGGTCCAATACGATGGCAGAGGGGTAGTAATTTGCGGGGTTTTCAATAGTCTCTCAGGGTTTCCTAGAATGGCTCTAGGGATCTTGGTCCAACCACTCAGAATTCCACCCTGTCAGTATTCATTCGTCCAGAGATGCAGAATCATTCAATTGAATCAGTATTTATAGATCAGGCTCACATAAGGCAAGCTGACAAGCCTCTTGACCCATGTGGGTGCTTCCTTTGCTGATGAAGACTAGGAAATTCAGACTGGGACTGTGAACCCCATTGAATGAAACAATGGCTCTTGCTTTGAAGTCAGCAACCTTCTTCATTTACATTTCCAATGCTCCAAGCTTGCATGGGTAAACATAACATAAACACAATGTGATAGCCAGAAACAATTCTTCATTAGTTTTCATGCAGTGTTACATATCAAGTACATTTACATCTAAACACTAACACATATTTCAATTTAAATCTAAGTACAGGATAGCAATCACAGGAAACAGATTGGTGAAGACAATAACATTACCATTTCACTAGTTTTCATGCATTTAAACAAATGTAATTACTGGGCACCTGTCAAGTAAATTGTAATGTGATAACATCCTTCTTTGTTCTATTCTAACAAGTGAATTGGCTTGAACATATTATGACCTTTTAGCATTTGTTTGATATACATACATAAGTGAATTGTCCTGTTGCTCTGATCTGAGCTGGTCTGTCTGCGTCACAGAGCTGGTAACCTGTTTAGACAGCATTGCAAGCACATACAACCTTCTCCTGTACACTAAACTTGAAAATAGTTCAATTTGTGGGTAATGGGTCCATTTCTTGCTCTATCACTCACTCATTGTTATGGTAGCTTGCACTGCTCAGTCAACCTCTTTGCCATAATGTTTACCCATTTGTATAATGGTATAATAACTGTTTTGATGATGGAATTTAGAATCGTAAACACCAAAATCCCTTTTGAAAATGAGATTTAGGCTTCTAAATCAGTTGGATTTGTGATACTAAGCACAGCAACACATAAATAGCTTTAAAATCTGAGTCTTAAACTTTGTGTCTCAGTTCCCCATCTGTAAATGGAGATGCTAATATTCCGTACTAGACATGGAATGTATTTCTATACACTGACAAATGTGATGCACTTAGATATGATGATAATATAAATACCTTAAGATAAGCTATAAACGTTTATTTTTCCTCTAAGGAATAAGATGCTGTAAGCATGTTCCTAATGTAAACCATTTTCAAATGACACACACATCCTACAATCACCTTTTCTGAGTTTCAAAATTACCCTCCTACTTCTCAAGTTTCTGGGTATGCTGCATCCTACCTTTTTGGTTTACATTCAGCTGCTGAAAGGGATAGATAACAAGACAAAAAATGTCATAATGCCTCTATTTAAATCCTTGGTACACCCACATCTTGAATACTGTGTGCATATCTGGTTGCCCCATCTCTAGAAAGGTATATTGGAATTGGAAAAGGTGCAGAGAAGGGCAACAAAAATGATTAGGGGTATTGAACAGGGATTAAAAAGACTGGGACTCTTGAGCTTGGTTAATTTCATGGTCATAGGATTTTAAAAATGGTAAATTCCATGATTTCACCTATTTAAATCTGAAATTTCATGGTGTTATAATTGTAGGGATCCTGGCCCAAAAAGGAGTTGTGGGGTGGTCACAAGGTTATTGTAGGGGGGGTTGCAGTACTGCTGCTGGCAGCGGCCCTGCCTTCAGAGCTGGGCAGCTTGAGAGTCGTGGCTGCTGGCTGGGAGCCCAGCTCTGAAGGCAGAGTTACCGCCAGCAGCAATGAGGTCAAGAGGATTTTTTGAAGGAAAATTTATTCCACGGCCAGCCTTCAGTTCAGGGTCGCAAACCACTAGGTTCTTTTGGGGAGATAAAACTTTAACTTATGGGACTCCCTACCCCAGGACTCAGCCCAAGAATTTGGGTCCCTTATATAGGAGGGTATTACAGAGGCACAGTGCTCCCTCCAAATGGTGTGGGACGTAGCTGATTCGACGGCCAGGCTGGTCGCTTCAGCAGTGATCATGAGGTGCAGTTCTTGGCCTGAGACTGGGGGCTTGTCCCAGGAGATGCAGTCCTCAATGTAGGACCTCCTGTTTGATGGGGTTGGAAAGATGCGAGGCTGTATGGGCTAAAGGACACTTGGGCCACCTTCCGCTTGCTGGGTCTCCATACGCCTCAGTCAGCGAGGAAGCAGTTCTGGCCACTCCCATCGCCAAGGCTGTGGCAATCTTAACAGGGGTCTGAAAGGAGAAGGGATAGGGACACGAGTTTTAGTTGTTGCCGCCCTTCCTCCTCCCACTCACCCACACAACTTGGCCTGGCAAAACATCACAGGGTCCAGAAGCGCCTCATTCTTTTCTCAACCGTCTTCGTCCCTACCGTTCGGCCTGGTCATGGGTCACCTCTGACCATTGGGTGCTAGAAATTGTATTTCTGGGCTACACTCTACAATTCTTGGCCACACCTCATCCCACCCCATCCCCCTTCCCTGTCCCTCTTCAGGGACCATTCTCACGAGTAACTCCTCGTTCAGGAGGTCGACAACCTTCTGTAGTTGAGGAGGAGAGGAGGACCCTTGTGAAATGAGGGGAAAAGGCTCTACTCCTGCTATTTTCTAATCCCAAAAGCAAAAGAGGGCCTAAGACCCATTCTGGACCTGTGGCGACTCAACAAATATCTCAAAAAGTTGAAGTTCCGCATGGTCTCCCTGGTCTCAGTCATTCCCTCCCTGGACCAGTAGACTGGTACACTGCTCTTGACTTGAAAGACACTTGTTTTTGTATTTCCCTCTTCCAAGGACACAGACGTTTCTCTGATTTATGGTGGGCCAGCATCATTTCCAATTTATGGCACTGCCCTTTGGTCTCTCATTGGCCCCAAAATACATGGCCCCAGTAGCTGCTTACCGGAGACGTCGAGGGGTCCAAGTCTATCCTTATCTCGATGATTGGCTCATCAAGGGCAGATCACAGGATCAAGTGCAGAGAAGTCTTTATCTGGTGTGTTCTACCTGTCACGACCTGGGCCTATTAGTAAACTAAAAGAAACTGGTGCAACTATGATAGAGTTCATAGGGGCGGTCCTCAACTCCACGCAGGCAAGAGCCTTCCTTCTGGAGGCCCATTTCCGAGCCATGTCGGACTAGATCTCCCATATAAGGGGCCACACACTCACTACCGCCCGCTCCTGCTTGAGGTGGTTAGGTCACATGGCAGCTTGTACTTACGTGGTCCGTCATGCCCGGCTCCATCTCCGGCCGCCGCCAGCGTAGCTGACGTCAGGTCTACACCTGCAACAAGCATGATCTAGACCTGGTAGTCAGGATGCTTGACCACATCCGGTTGTCACTGGAATGGTAGTTGGACCCCAAATCAGTGTTGGAGGGGGTTCCCTTCACAGCCCTGGCCTCGTTGCTGACCCTGGTTTCCGATGCCTTGGGCCTGGGCTTGAGGTTGAGCTCAGCATGCAAGGTCGCTGATCATGGGACAGTCGCTCCCTCCACATAAATATCAGGGAGCTCAGAGCAGTTGGTTTGGCCTGTCGCGCTTTCTGGTCCCACTTGAAGGGCAAGGTAGTACAAGTCCTGATGGACAACACTGCTGCAATGTTTTATATCAACAAGCAGTGCGGAGCCAGATTGACAGCCCTTTGCCAGAAAGCTCTCCAGCTCTGGGACTTCTGTGTGCAGCATGCCATTCATCTTGTGGCCTCCTGGGGAGCAGGAACATACTAGCAGATCACCTCAGCAGGACCTTCCCACCTTGGACCAGGGTATTAGGCCTGAGCAGGCCTCGCTGCAATCAATCCTGGACTACCTTCTACATCTTAAGCTCCAGGGCTTATCCCTTTCATCAATTAAGGTCCACTTGGCCACTATATCAGCCTTTCACCCTCCAGTCCAGGGCAGCTTGGTCTTCACTCACGACATGACAGTCCAGTTCTTGAAGGGTCTGAGTGACTCTATCCCCATGTCCAGGACCCCATCCCTCCTTGAGACCTGAATCTAGTGCTGGCACAGCTCATGGGTGCCCCATTCGAGACATTGGCTTCCTGTTCTCTTCTTCTCTCCTGGAAGGTGTCATTTCTGGTAGCAATAACGTCTGTTTGTAGGGTCTCTGAGATTAGGGCGCTTACCTTGGAGCCACCCTATATGGTGTTTTTCAAGGACAAAGTCCACCTGCAGCTGCACCCAGCTTTCCTACCCAAGGTTGTTTCCTGTGAGCCAGGACATATTCTTGCCAGTCTTCTTCCCAAAGCTTCATAAGTCTGAAGAGGAGCGTAGATTGCACTCTCTGGACGTCAGGAGAGCAAAAATCTCTGACGACTGTGCTCGGAGGTACATGCACACCTAAAACGGAATGGACATGAGCAACACATCTCGAAGAACAACAGTTATGAAAGGTAGGTTTCATAAATATAAAGGGAAGGGTAACCTTTATGTATGCAGTAACGTCAAATCCCCCCTGGCCAGAGGTACAGAATCACTTACCTGTAAGGGGTTAATGAGTTCAATTAACCTAGTTGGTACCTGACCAGAAGGACCAATGGGGAAAGAAGATACTTTCAAATCTGGGTTGGGTGGAGGAGCTTTTGTTTGTGCTCTTTGTTTTTGTTCCCTCTTGGGACAAAGAGAGAGACCAAGCAGGTAACCCAGCTCCTACTGAAATGATGCATCTAAAATAACAGAAATTGTAAGTAATAGCAAGGAAATGTGTTAGATTATCTTTTGTTTTACCTTGTGAATTTTCCCTATGCTAAGAGGGAGGTTTATTCCTGTTATGTAACTTTGAAGTTGAGCCTAGAGGAGAATCCTCTGTGTTTTAAATCTTTTTATTACCCTGTAAAATGACCTTCTATCCTGATTTTACAGAGGTGCTTCTTTTACTTTTTTCTTTATTATAAAGTTCTTCTTTTAAGAACCTGATTGGTTTTTAGTGTCCTAAAACCCCAAGGGTCTGATCTGTGCTCACCTTGTTTGGGATAGCTATGCACACCAATGTTTGTAACATGCTTTCTGATCTTTGGACAGAAAACATTGCAGAAGTGCAAATTATTTTTTTATAATAAGAATGTGGGATTTCGGGTTTACTAGGAAAATAAATTTGATCCTTAGTTTTTAGTTGGAGAATAGATTTTCTAATGAACACACTTTCTGTGACTCAAGTTTTACTATTTATTGGGCATAGAATTAGTCAACCAGGAAAAAAGAGTAATATTAACTGGAACAGCAGGGAGGCCAACTCTCCGTCTCTGGCTCCCATCCCTTACTGTATCACTTTCACGTTCTCTTGCTCTCCCTTTCTAATGCAAGCTTGGGAAACAGTGACTGGCTCAGCAGTAGTCAGATGAAGAAAAACATTAAAAGCAGCATGCGGGAAGGCCAGGGTTTCAACCCCTCTTCCTTCCTTGCTCAGGAAAACATCACCTCTTGACATGTCCTATGGGAAGCACATTTTGTGCTTTTAAATATTATTAAATTGACATGAGCATTTGCCAAATAAATACAGAAAACTATATTAAAATAGCATTGTTTCTGTCTTGAACACACAAAAGTCATGGAAAGTCTGAGTTAAGACTCCCACAGCACCCATAACATGCTAAGCCCCTTCTGAACAGTCATTGCAGCAGCACAAATGGATATGTATCAAAGGATTTCTAATATATGTTTTCAGAACACTTCATAGCCTAGCAAAAACCTTTTTGGAAACGAAAAATAAAAGTATCACAAGTAAGTTATGGCCTGTCCCTTTTTTAGTGTCCCAGAAGACCTGGTGTTCTGGCTACAGCTATCTTGTTCAATGCTATGTAACTCTATTTATGGTCAAAACAGGTGTCTGCCTGTTCAAATCTCTTGTGAAAATAAGAAATTAAGGTACTAAAAGGAAATTATAGCCTGGAAGTTTACTCTTGTTTTGTCATCTGATTGCTGGGATGGCTCATTACTGAGTGAGTGTTTAGGTTAACACAATATTAGTTTTATTTTCTAGCCCCTGCCACAGTTTCTAACTCTATTTTCCTACTGGTTTGGAGCAGCATCCAGTATTGTGGTATTCTCTCTTTTTACATTTGTGAAATTTACATGCCCTTTTCATGCTCTGGGGACCCTTATCTAATTTAATTATCCCAATAACTATCTTAATAGATTCCTCAATCTGGTCCAACAGTAAATTAAATATACAAATACGTCCCAACAGACATAATAATAAAATAAAAGAATGCTCCCTCCACAGGAGACATAATGATGTGAGCTACATGCATTTTTTCCCTGACTGAAGAGTTCCTTTGAAATCTTGACGCTGAATTTCCTAGCTTCTTTGAGCTTAAGTCAGTCATTATTTCCTTAATAAAAGGGGATTTTTTTTATGACTAAAAATGTAAAGGCAATAGTCTATTCTTTTTAAACTAACAATAATAGTGGCAGTTAACAGAACAGAAAAGGAATTAATGGCAGCTGGGGATAAATATTTATATATACACCTCTACCCCGATATAACGCGACCTGATATAACACGGATTCGGATATAACGCGGTAAAGTAGTGCTCCGGGGGGGGCAGGGCTGCACACTCCTGCGGATCAAAGCAAGTTTGATATAACGCGGTTTCACCTATAACGCGGTAAGATTTGGCTCCTGAGGACTGTGTGTGTATGTATATGTGTGTGTGTGTGTGTGTGTGTGTGTGTGTGTGTGTGTGTGTGTGTATATATATATATATATATATATATATATAATATTTTTTTAAAGCAGAATTAGCCCAATATGCCAGTCACCACCCTGTCCACTTACTTGTATTCTGTATCCCTTTCTGCTACCCACTGTCTTCATAGATTTTTAAGATCTTCAGGGCACAGACTGTGTCACCCTATACATCCAAACAGCTCATTGCATAACACACAAGTAAACTATCATAACTAGGAAGGAGGGCTTACTCACCTTGTAGAGTAACTGGAATTCTTTGAGATGTTTGTTCCTATAGGTTCTCCACTTGAGGTGTGCATGCACCTTTTGATCAGAGGTTTTCGGCAGCAGAGCACATTTGGCCAATGCATGCACTCTAGCTATCCTCATGCCCTGCAATGAGGGCATATAGGGCCGCAGTGGACGGCCTTCTTTATGGCACAGTCTGATGGAGATGAGACTCCGAAGGAGGGTGGGTAGCGGAGCACCCACAGGGCGATGCATCTCAAAGAACTCCAGTTACTGCCCAAGGTGAATAATCTCTTCTTCTTTGAGTAGTTTCCCTATGGGTGCTCGCTTGTGGTGACCCCTGAGCAGTATGCTCTGAAGGAGATGGATCTAGAACTGTTTGCAGAATTAAAGGTAGTGTCAACTCTAGAGGTATGCACTAAGGCCTAGTGCCTCAAGAAGGTGTGAACTGAAGCCCATGTGGCAGTTTTGCAGATTTCAAAAGGACAACAGATGTGGACTGAGCTCTGGTAGTATGGGCTATGACCCTAGAAGGGCATGGCAGTTTACCAGCTGCATAGCAGGAGAGGATGCAGCCAAACACCCACTTAGAAAGTCTCTGGGTGGAAATTGGTGTCCCTTTAACTCTGTGTGCGATATTTTAAAACAGTGGTTCTCAATCAGGGGTACATGTACCCCTAGGGATATGCAGAGGTCTTCCAGGGGGTATATCAACTCATCTAGATATTTGCCTAGTTTTAAAACAGACTACAGAAAAAGCACTAGCAAAATCTGTACAAACTAACATTTCATACAGGCAATGACTTGTTTATACTGCTTTATATACTATTCACTGAAATGTAAGAACAATATTTATATTCCAATTGATTTATTTTATAATTATATGGTAAAATGAGAAAGTAAGCAATTTTTCAGTAACAGTGTGCTGTGACACTTTTGTATTATTCTCTGATTTTGTAAGCAAGTAGTTTAAGTGAGGTGAAAGTTGGTACACAAGACAAATCAGACTCCTCAAAGCGGTACAGGAGTCTGGAAAGGTTGAGAACCACTGTTCTAGAACCTCCAAGATAGGAGAGTTGAAAGGAAATAGGCAACGGTGATTACACCAGTGGTAAAATCTTTTATATTTCTGAAGGTAAGTTTTCTTGGTGGATTCTCTTCTTGTTCAACAGGACTTCTTGAATTCTCTGGAACAGGAGAGTCCTAACCCTGAGAGCCATCCAAGCTCTGAGTTATAGTGTGTTCAGGTTGGGTGGGGTCACAAACATTCCCCGAATCCTGAGTGAAGAGACTGGGCGTCAGCAGGAGATTGATGGCTGGCTGGGAGAAGAGGTAAAGTAGGTAAACAAACTACACTTGTTTTAGCCATATTGGTGTGATTGAGATGACCAAGGCTTTGTCCTGTCTAATTTTGTTTAGAACCATGAGGATTAGCAGTGTTGGAGGGAAGGCATCTAGGAGACTTCTTAATCAAGGAGAAAGGCAACCCCCCTCCCCAGGAATGGTGACCAAGACATCCCCTTGACAAGAATTTTGCACATTTCCGGTTGATAGTGCTGGTGAGGTGGTGTATGTTTGGAAAACACCAGGTAAGCAATATTTGCCTGAGAATGAATCTGTCAAATATCCACTTGTGATCTTGAGTGAAGTGACTGCTGAGGTCATCAGCTATAGTATTTTAGAGGCCAGGCAAATAATAAGGATTCAATGGGCTATGCACCAATTCTATAACCTGATTGCATTTGAACAGAGGAAGGGGATCTCACTTAGCCTTGTCGATTTATGCAGTACATACTGGCCCTGTTGTCTCTCATTATGCAGGTGGGTTGACTTTCCATCACAGGATCGGATATGGTGGCAAGTGTATCTCCTGGCTCTGAGCTCCAGAATGTAGGACAGACTCCTGGTGGACCATCTGTTCTGGATAGCATTATACTGTCAATGTGCTCCCCATCCTAGGAGAGACGAGTCTGAAATGGGATAGTTGAAGGGAATTCCTGAGCACACCTTGTCCAGATTCTTCCACCAGTCATGAGAGATCTAGCACGAGGCTGGGAGCAGAGAGTAATTTTTTCAGGCTGTCTTTGTTGGGAGTATAAACTGTCCTGAGCCAGGCTTGGAAGCACTGTAGGTAAAAGTGGGCATGTAATGTGAAGGTAAATGCTGTCACATGCACGAGCAGCTGCAGGCACCATCTGGCAGTGATCTGTGGGCTCACTTGAACTTGTGCGACTAACTGTGTTCGAATGCGAAATCTGTCCTCTCATAGATAGGCTCTGGATGTCGTGGTGTAGAGAGTGGCTCCTATAAACTCTATCAATTGCAGAGATAAGAGGGAGGACTTTGCAGTATTGAGTTGAAGGCTGAGCATGTGAGAGAGACATAGTGTTCTTTACTGCTGTTTGAACTTTGATGTAGGAACACCAATTGCTGAAATAGGAGAAAATGATTACTTCCCATTGGTAAAGCTGTATAGCAACTATCGTGATAACTTTTGTAAACATTGTAGGGGTGGTAGAGAGTCAAAAAGAAGGACTTGATACTGATAGTGGTTCAACTCCTAACCACTGACAAAGCATAGGAATCTCTTGTGAGAGAGATGTAGCATATATAAGTATGCTTCTTGAAAGTCACAGATCTCAAAATAGTCTCCCAGATTCAGGAATAGAATAACAGGAGGACTTGTGGCACCTTAGAGACTAACAAATTTATTAGAGCATAA